GAGTGACACTGCACCCAGAGGAGAACGGGCAGTGACACCGCACCAGGAGGGGAACGGGCAGTGACACTGCACCCACAGGGGAACGGGCAGTGACACTGTGCCAGGAGGGGAACGGGCAGTGACACTGCACCCACAGGGGAACGGGCAGTGACACTGTGCCCGGAGGGGAACGGGCAGTGACACTGCACCCACAGGGGAACGGGCAGTGACACTGTGCCAGGAGGGGAACGGGCAGTGACACTGCACCCAGAGAGGAACGGGCAGTGACACTGTGTGTTCCTGGACATCTGCCTGTAACAGAGCACCTTCAATGTTGGAGCAGGGTCACTGGGAGCTTCTGAGCAAGTGCATCATAGGAACGATTTTTGAGAAAACACTTCCATGGCCTTGGCTGGGTTTGGCGGCTATTGCTGAGAGAGGTGGCTGTGGCTGGGACCCGTGGCCGAGATCTGTGGCCGTGGCTGATATCGGAGGCTGGGGTCGGTGGCTGTGGCTGAGATCCGTGGCTATGGGGAAGCATAGATAGGAAAAGAGACCAGGGAAAGTGTTTTTCCATTTACTGTTTTTAGTAGGAAAATTAAAATATTTTTATATTTTTTTCTTGTTTAACCTGTCTGCAAGCTAAATGAACTTTACAGATCTTCATAACTGTACACTTTGAACTCTAAGATTATATTTCAGGCTAACATTTAATTTTTGTTTCTCCTCTTTTTAAATAACAAAGAGCTACACTGCTTTTTGAATGGGTGTCTTAAGTGTCAACCATTTGTCCTAAGACAGGCTGATGCAGGAGACATCACAGTAAGCGGGCAGCTGCGTGGAGGGAGAGGGCGTTGTGCAAGAGAAGCACTCTACTTCCCTGAAGCTATGGATGTTGGGGACTCACAGTTTGTGTTGCTATGCAGTAGGCATGAGGATGGAAACCTCGTGCGTGCCCCACGGTGTTCTGGAAATTGGAAGATGGAGAAAAGCTGGACAGTTAATGCAATGCAGTGTTCTCTACTCTTATCATTTAACCATCTGTTCTTACATTTAGGAGAAAAGGGAACGTGTTGGCTATAAAGAGACTTGGCATTTTGCGTCTGTCTGAGAAATAGGAAGACGCCCTGAAATCTGTCCCTTGGGTAACAAGACATCTGCTGAGGGCTGGGACTGGGAGGCTGTGTGAACACAGATATGTTGGTTCTGAATCCCATCCATCGGCTGCAAACCGCGGACCTCTCCGTGCTCAGGAACGGGGGTGGCCTCGTTCCTACGGGACAAGAAAATACAAAGGAAGGAAGACGGACAGGCAGTAATAGAGGAGTTTGTGAGATCAGAAGGACTTTGGCACACTTGGCTTTAAACATCCTAGTTCTCGTCCTGTCTTACCTGTGGTCCAGGAAGGGCACCTCAGTGGAGGAAGTAGGAGTGAAGCAGTAAGGAAGGGATGGTTGAGGCTGGGCGGTCCAGAGCATGGCGCGGTGTGGAACAGCACATGGGATTGGTGGCCTTGCAATGAAATAGCATTCTTACCCTGTGTAGTGAGGCAAACTAAGGGCAGTTTCAGCAGTTATGAAATTTCCCTTTTGCTTACAGATTGTCACTACCAGAAAACGATACAAACTAAACACCTTCTCCTCAAATCCTATCTCACTGACTGCTATTATTACATCAGAATTCCATTCCCTTGAGAAAACTTAGGGACATTTTCTCCAATGGAAAATACATATCATACTTAAGAATCATAATAAACTCTTTAAATAACTTTATGTTTTAGCAATATGTAGTTTGAATTAACAATTGTTAGCTTAATTATAGACTACATTTGCATAAAACCCTCATTCTTCGGTAAAAACACTTTTCCATATAGTCTTCTATCCCCAGATCCTCAACATCTAAAGCCCAGAGAGAAATTTGATTTCTTATTTTAGAGACAAGAATTCTGAAACTAAGCTTGATATTAATCAGTGCTGTCTTTTACTGAATGATTAAACATAAGAGAACCATGCTATGCTCTTTATATATATATATTATCTCATTTAATGCTCATGATTAAACCATGAGCTAGTTAGCAACTCTATTTTCTCTGGCTCTAAGATACCACAAATTGAGATCAGACTGATTCGAAAGTCTATGCTTTGAAATCACTACAAGTTACTGGCAATGTGACTTACTCAAGCTCAGTGAGCTAGTAAGTGACAGAAGAGGACATAGAAATAGTCTGTTCGCCCTTAATTTTTCCATGCAACCCTAATGGACAATTTTAATATAGTGGATAATCAGTCTTAAAAAGTCATTGCACATTCATTAAAAACAAGTATTTAATTAGTTCATATAAATAAGTATGTATTGGGAATTCTAATAGATTTAAGTGTTTCAAGCAACCCTATTGTCTTTATTATTCCTTCATATATGATATGCTGGTTCCCGTCTCATGCTCTAATTAGGTGGAAACGACATGGTATTTAATAACTAAGTATTTAATAGCTACGTTTTTAAAGGTTATGTTTAATAAACATGAATATTCTTGAAAGAAATTATTAGGATTCCTTCTTGGGGTTGTGTTTAGTAAAACTGAATACTCTTGAGAGAGATTATTAGGATTCCGAGAATTGTTTTTATTCTGCATTGGGGGGAGGGTATTAGAAGAAAGCAGAATGGTGTGTGCAGATAGAGGTGTATGCTTACAAAACTAAACACAGGAAAGGAGCCTAAGAGTTAACAACCAGAGGGAGAAGTAGTGCTTTGGAGGATCATGAGAAGGGGACCGTCATATCACATTGGGTTAGAAGGAGAATCAGCTAAGGCCCATAAGATAAATGATGTTTCAGAGGAGCCCTAAAGGATAGATAGAAATCCAAAAGGCATGTGGAGTAGGGCAGTCACACACACAGGGGGCAATGTAAGTCATAGCAGAGACTTGTCGTTTTCTTATCTGTCCTGTGTGTGTAGATTATTAAAAGGCACCAGGCTGACACCTGCGACCTTATCGCAGAAGGTCTTGAATACCCTTGTCCTTGGGGCAGATGCGGAAGAGTGAGAAATGAACACTGGACTGGGCGGAAGGAGACGTGCGTGAACTGAGTGAACTTGGGCAAATCACTTCATCTTTTTGCGCCTTCCCTTCCTCACCTCCAGTGTGGATGTAATGATGATTACTAAAGGCTGGGTGTGGATGGGAAGGCTCGTGTGGAGGTGTTCTGAAACTGTAAGCACCGCAGGAGGCGTCGAGGCCATCACAGTCGTCATCGTTGTACATGTGGTGGTAGATGAATGTCTTGTAGAAGTGGTGCTTTCCGTTGCCATCTGCACTTCAGGAAAAATAGGTTGACAGACATGTGGAGGGTGGCTTCATCACAAGTGAAGAAAGAGAACCAATCAGGAGGCTCCTAAAGTCATTCAGGTTAAAAGTAACAAAGGTGCGATTAGGGTGGTAGTCCGGGTAGCCAGAAAGAAAGGCAGGTACATTGCAGGGATACTGCCTAATTTTCTATTCATTGAAAAATGGACTGAGGACCCACTCTGTTCCTGGACACAGTCTTCACAAGAGACAACAGGGATAGAGACCAGAGCAGGGTGTGAGAGGTGAAAGGCAAAAAGGGGTCACTGCGTCTTCCCGTGCTTTCGTTGACAATACCTTGGTGCCAGCAAATGGAGAAGGGACGCCTCAGAGGAGCCTAACCCACCTACGGTACATGTGTCGCGTGGGCGGGAGATGATGGAGGGTCAGTGATCCTCCCAAGGCGGTGTGAGTGCACTCCCTCTCCCTGCTCCCTGGGTGGGTCTACACCACCTGACGTGCTGGGGGAGAGACTTACCCGGGGAAAGAAGGCAAGACCATCCTGAAGAAACTCACTCCAAACTCCTGACAGAACCACCCCCAACCAAGGGAACCAAGAACACGTCTTCGCCGAAGCAGTGGTTCTCAACCTTCTGGCCCTTTAAATACAGTTCCTCATGTTGTGACCCAACCATAAAATTATTTTCATTGCTACTTCATAACTGTAATGTTGCTACTGTGATGAATCATCATGGAAATATCTGATATGCAGGATGGTCTTAGGCGACCCCCGTGAAAGGGTCGTTCGACCGCCAAAGGGGTCGCGACCCACAGGTTGAGAACCGCTGGCCTAAAGAGAATTGCTCACGTCTTTTAAACTGGGCCACCTGCTCCCCTGCTGGCTTGTGTTTGGAAGTGGATGTAAATCAAGCAATTGGGTTCAGGGTCTCTGTCAGCTCTAAGTTTCCTGGTCATAAGAAATTGATTCAGTTTAATCCACAGTCACTGAGTGAACGCAGGTATCTTCCAGGAGATGGGCTGGCAAGGAATGCTGGGAGTGAGCAGGGGACCCTGCCCCTCTCAGCTTCGTGAAAGTGCATGTCAGGAAGCATGTGGCAGACCACTGCATGGTGAACCAAAGCTGTCTTCGTAATACTGTTATAAACATCACCACACGCTCTCTCTTGGTTTCATATGTGTGATTGTGTCTTCACGTCTCCATGAGTGACCTTTTTATGAAGAGGAAAGTGATGGGGGGGGTGCTTACTGGAAACTCATACTGATGTGAGTTTTAATAAAATAAACAACTCCTGCAGTGCTGATTCCTAAAGTTGAAAGTGCGGTATGCAGTCCTGCAGAAACACCCTGTGAATTTTGTGGGGTCAAGTCCCAGAGAAACAGCCCCTGTGTGTGGCATTTTCCATAGAACTTTTACCATCGTGTTGTCCCTTTACTCAGGAGCTTAATTGAAGTGAAAATAGGACAACCTTGTAGCTCTACTTAAAGTATAAAGGGGACATGAGGCTAGCCACGGAACCACAAATTTGGTAAAATTATGGGGAGAAATCGTAGAAGTGGGCTTCACTGTGTTGTTCTTTTAAATCCCTCTCATTCCCTTTCATCTCTTGTTCATTTCTTACCCCTCCGTGCTTTAGCGAGGCAGGCTTTGTGGCTGCTTCAGATGCTCCCGACTTGAGATGCGCTCTGTATTAATGCTGTTTTGTTTTCTTCCCTTTAGGAGATGACCTGGCTTCCACCACTTTCTGCTATTCAGCCGCCTGGCAAGGTGGAACCCAGCAAATTTTCATTCCCAAATAAGGTGAGGTCTGGTGTCACTCAGGAGCAGCCTGCTGTCTCCACACAGAATTTCCCAGGGACAGTGGGACCTCCCTTTATTGTCTTTTCCTTTGAAAATATTCCTGCCAGAGGCATATGGATCTGATTTTCAACATTTTTCAAACATATATTTATTCATCAAAGGGGAAAATGAAGATTGCAATTTTACACCTACACTTCCATACTTAATGCAAAATGTGATGCATATTATGTGTCATTTATCAAGACCATTTGTGAAGTTGCTTCTTACAATAGTGTTATACATTCAGTGTGATTGCTTATTTTTTCCTAAAAATTGCTTATTTTTTCCTAAATTAATAATGAATCTTAAAATCAATGTCTTAGAATTGAGGGCAGGTAGTATTTAATTCCTCTTAGATATCTTTTATAAAGCATAAAATATTATCTAGGAATTTAAAAGAAAAGATTTCCATATTTTCTAAAGACAAGTACACAAAAAGAATAACCACAAAATATATTTAAGTTATACATGAGTCTAATATGTTTTGTTTGAATACAACATATAACTTTATACTCATTATAAAGGTGAAATTATGCAAATAGAAGGAGCGAAATACGAAAGTTTCCAGTACCCTCATCCACATTTTATTTCCCTTACCCAAGGGACTACATTCAAACAAGAGTTTGATGTGTAACGTTCCAGTCATTCTCTCTGTGCATTACGTATACATGTATGTGCATATGCAGTTTTAAAAAATCATAAATGGTATTGTGCTAAAAGCATTTTTTCTAAGGGTTGAAATTTTTCCAGATACCCACAATACATAAATATCCTTGTAAGTAGTCATATCAACTTTCTCTAGTGAATTATTGAAATAATTATTAATTATAATCATCACAATGATAAATTCCATTCTAAGAGTTTTTTCCTTTTCTTAACAAAATGTATTTGGAGAGCTTTCCAAGTGAATCTATATTTTCTTCATTCTTCTTAACAGCAGCAAAATATTTCCCAGTATGAATTTGCTGTAATTTATTGACTCAAACTCCTTTTGATCAACATTCAGGTTGTTTACGGTTGGTTATTATCACAAACGCTGTTTGAACAAACAGTGTTTGGCAGGTGCCTCTTTGAATGTCCCGAGTACTGATGCCGGACCAGGAGCGTGGTGCTGGAGGCATCTAAAGCCATAATTCCTCTGGACTGCATTTCCAGAGTACTTTGTTGTGCATCTTTGCCAGCGTTTAATATTATTTGACTTTTTATCCTTGTTTCTGGGTGAAAATTTGCTGTCTCATTGTTTTCATTTGCATTTCTCCAATTTCTTCTGAGTTTAACAATGGGCTATTTTTCCTTTGCAACTTATCCATTCATAGTCATTGCCCATTCATATTGCATTTTAAAAAATGATTTGTTAGGAACTCCTTATTGCTTATTCATGTGTCTATTATATATGATACAACTAGTTTCTTGTAACTTGATTTATGTACCTTTTATACGAGCAAAGTGTTTAATTTTTGTCAGAGATTTTTAAAAAAGCTTCCCTGCACCAATATTCTAACAATGTTCTCTATTTTATTCTAAGTCTTTTATAGTTTTGGTTTTAGGTTTAAAAAAACGTTGTGACTGGTTTAACATAGAATTCTAGTTGTGTTCTTTAAATGGCTAGTAAATTATTATAACACTATTAATAAAATTAGCTCATATTCCTCCACCACCCCCCACTATTTTGAAATACCGTGTTTATCAGCAATTTAATTTCTCATAAATACATAGATTTGTTTCAGGAGTATCTATTCTGTTTTTTCAGTGTATTTACTTCTTTCCCAATAACTCATTGTTTAAATCAAATGCTGATAAGCTTTTTCTGTCAAGGCTCAGGACATAAATAGTTTAGGCTTTGCAGACAATATATAAATGAATGACTGTAGCTATGTTCAAATAAAATTTTATTTATAGAAACAGGTGACAGCATCTATAATAATAGAAGCGTAATATGCTAATTAGACCGGACATCTTTCCGGAAGACCTTCCAGACGAAGATGGGGCTGCGAGGGAAGCCTGGGTCCTGGTTGCCTGCCAGCAGCTGGAGGGAAGCCCGGGTCCCGAGTGCCAGAGGGAAGCTGGTGCTAGCAGCCGGGGGAAGGGAGGCCTACTCTTGTACAAATTTCATGCATCGGGCCTCTAGTAATATACTAGTATAAAGAACTCATAATTCAACAATAAAAGGATAGCTCATTTTAAGAATGGGCAAAGGATTTACATAGACATTTCTCCAAAGAAGATCTACAAATGGCTAATAAGTATATGAAAAGATACTATCACTATTACTAATCAAAATCACAGTGAGAAAATGAGTCATACCGGCTTAAATAGCTAAACCAAAGATAGTAACCAGTGTGAGCAAGGGTGTAGAAAAATTGGAAACCTGCTCTCAGTTGCTGGTGGGATCATCAAATGTTACAGCCTCTTTGGAAAACATTTTAGGCAGTTTCTCCGGCACTGCATTATCCTATGAGCCAGCAATTCCACTCCTAGATATATACCCAAAGAATGAAAACACATCCATCCAAAACTTAGACATGCACATTCGTAGCAGCATTAATCATAGTAGCCAATAAGTGGAAACAACACAAATGTTGTTGATAAATAGATACACACAAGTAACATATGGAATGCTTTTCAGGCATAAAAAAGAATGAAATGGCAATACCTAATACAATGTGCATGAACCTTAAACATGTTATGCTAAGTGAAAGTCACAAACAACCACATACTCTGTTACATGATTTCATATATTTGAAATGTCCAGAGTAGGCAAATATAGCAAGACAGAGAATTAGGTTAGTGGTTTCTTGAAGCTCAGAGGTGGGGAGGTAGGGTTGAATGTTGGCTAAAGGGTAAAGGATATTTTTTTAATTGATGATAATATTCTAAAATGTATTATGGTCATAAACTCTGAATACGCTAAAAAGCATTCAGTTGTTTAAAATAAAACAAATCAAAGGCTGGGCTATACTTGGCCTGTGGGCTATATTTGGCTGACTCCTAGTTTAAATTATTAATGATTTTTGGCCTATTTATACATACATGTGGTCAGGCCAGTATCCTTTTTTGTTATCCAAAAGTCCTGCCTATTGTACATTTTTCTCTTCCAGATCATTTTAAGAATCATCTTGATGACCTGTTGTTCCTTAAAAAAATCCTCTTGGAATTTTGTTTGGTTTCTAACTTAATTTAATAAAGTATATCCATTTGACAATATTATCTTCCTGTCCAAGAATTTGGAATATCTCTTCACTTCTTTTCATATCTTCTTGCAGGTTCTTTGGTAAACATTTTGTTCTTGTAGGCCTTTCACATTGGTTCTGTGGTTTATTCACAGATATTTAACAGTATTTTGTATGTAAATGAGCTTTTTTTTAAAGTTTTCATGTTTTAATTAGTCCTCAGTGGTGTGAAGGAAATTTACTGGATTTTACATATCTACTTACTGAATTCCTTCCGGCTGTGGTAGATTTTTGGTGAGCTTATATTTTCCTAGTAGAGGACAATAGAATGCATAGCAAGGGGGAGGTGAATGCTGATGGTGACTAGAAGTGGATGACTTTTCAATAGAGAGCTTAAGAAAGACCTTTCTGAGGAGGCGGCATTTGAGCAACTCCCTGAAGCAGGTGAGGGAGCAGGTCGTGCAGACAAGGGGCAGAGAGGTCCACAGAAATGGAAGAGAAGGGGAAAGGCAGCAGCATACCTGGGTCTTGGAGGCACCACAGGGCCAGCGGGGCCAGGGCAGAGCCAATGGGCACTGAACAGCCAATGACAGAGAGGTAACAGCAGAGTGGGGCTGTCAGGACACTGGAGTATCAGATTGGGCCTACTTGTGTAATGCAGAATAATCTCCCACCCCGCACTCATCATTAATCCCGGCTGCAAAGCCCCTTTTGCCATGAGAAGTAACATGTTCACAGGGTCGGGAATGAGGATACAGACATCTTTGGGGGGGCCCTTGTTCTGCCTACTGCAAGACTGTCATTAATTTTGACACGTACTGTACCTCTTCCAACCTGTATCTCAGCTAATTAGTGTTCTGTCAGCTGGAGGCTTGCATTTCCTTAATTAGATAGATTATTAACATTTGAGATTATCACTCTATTGCCAGCATGAAGGAGCTAGAATTATTCATAGAATGTGATGGGCAAAATCTCCTAAATGAGTAACAAATAATTAAATTAAGCCTAATCTTGTTAAGATTAAAGGGGCGACTTGACCTCACCAGGAAAGTTGATTGAACTGTGCATCTGAGTTGGCAGCGCCACTGAATTAATTAGCTAAATACTTCCGAGAATTTCCCCGATTTGTCTGGGTGTGGAAGGACATAACGTTTAGTAAGGTCAGTTGTGACCAAATGTGGGTATTTCTTCTATTCTCTGAACACTTCATCTGGAGTCACTGTTTCCTGGACAAATGCTACCAGGCATGTCTGCCTCTTTCTTCAGATCTCAAGAGTAATTGAATTGGGTAAAGGAAAGAATACCTGACTTCTTTAAATTGGCTGCCATTATCGGGTTATTTCAACAAAGGTGTGGGGGAAGAATTTGCTTTGCCTTTTTCCCTTCATTTCTGTAGCAGTCTCAAAAGTTGTGAAATGCAAAGAACTGAAAATTGTAGAATTTCCCCATCCCCAGAAGGCATACGGGCACACCTAATGGCATTTCACAAACATGTCACAGAGCAATGGGTGCTGAGTCCGGGGGTCAGCCCTGGCCTGAAACTGTCCTGGCTGGCAGATTTGTGAAGCGTTGTGCGGCGGAACGCCGGCATCCTGACAGAAGTGCCCGTGCGCTGGCCTCCTCTGTGTGCCCAGAAGGAGAACGGAAGCCGGGGGTGAGCAAAATGGCAGGTTCCCTCCCTCTGAGGGGTTGCTAGGATGCCTCAGAAACTGCCACAAAATGTTTGGACTAAAAACTCCAGGTTTAACATTACCCCAAATGAAACATTGAAATTCATTGTAAATTACATTATTTTAACTATTTATTTGATACTTTATAGAATAGGATTCAGAAGAAAGTGATTAGTGGGGGTGGAAGGCAATGAAAACAAGTCAGATGGTTCTTTTTCCTCTAGGAATTAGCTCACTGTGTATGGGGGAAGGCATCAGAGAATAAGAGAAGATAGTTTTGCATTTCTTGCCTTCTGTAGTTCTAAGAATGGGCTCGTAGACAGACAAGGAGAGGTGTGAGTGGCCCAGTCGTCAGGTGGTTCCAAAACGCAGTTTTGAAGTAAGGCTCGCTCGCACAGCAGGAGGATTGTCCTCCGTCAGCAACACGGTTTACAGATGACTGGACTTATTGGTGTAAGGTGCGTGGCTTTTCACATTGTAAGTTTCCTACCAGTCAGGGTGTGTTTTACAGCTGGTGGCATCTTACAGTTAATCGGCAGCCGTTTTCTTTGCTGGTGGTCCCTGAGATCGCGCGGCCTCCTGCACCTTACACTTGGTGGGACATAGTGGTTGCTGTGGCGCTCCATGGAATGACTCCCTCAGACACTGGGGAGCTTGGTGATTTCTGTCCTCAGTAAAAGGATTTGTACCAACTTGACTTCTCAGCTAAATAGAGCTCATATAAAGAAGCTTTAGGATTCCCACGTACCAGACAAGCATTTAGGTTTTGGGAATTCAGGATTTAAAGATGGAGAAGGAGAAATGCCCATCGGGAAGTATTCTTCTTAGAAGCCAGAAGTGGGTGTCACCTTTGTGCATGTGACTGCCAGGTGACAGCCTTGAATCGCACTGGCGAACCAAAAGCAGCAGCTTAACCTCTGAAATGACCCGATTCGGGATTATAGACAACTTTTGTATACTTTCCTCTAAATTTTCTTTAATGAGTAGGTATTTCTCTTCTTTGTTTAAATACTAAGTGCTACTTAATAAAATGGAAGTCCTTGAGTCAAGAAGATGATAATACTAACAGCCCTTTAATGCTATTTATCATTAAATTGTGTACTTTAAATATGTGCAGCTTGTGTTATATTGTTTATGCCTCAATAAAGCTGCTTTGTTGTTGTTTTTAAAAACGAGTCATAGTTGGAAAGAGAAAAGAAACTCAACATCATTAGTCATTAGGGAAATACAAATCCGAACCACATGAGAAACCATTGCACATCCCCTAGGATGGCTATCATAAATTTTATAAAAATTAAAACCAGAAAATAACAAGTGCTGGTGAGGATGTGGAGAAATTGGAACCTTCAGACATTGCTAGTAGGAATGCAAAATGACTCAGCCACTGTGGAAACAGTTTGGCAGTGCCGCTTAACAAAGAATCGCCACATGAACCTGCAGTTCTCCTCTTAAGCGTATCCCCTAAAGGATTGAAAGCAGGGACTCAAACAAGTACACATGCATGTGTGTTTATGGCAGCACTACTCACAATAGCCAGAAGGTGGAAACAGCCCAAATGTGCATTAACAGATGAATGGGCCTGTTAATAAAAACTGTTGTTTATACAAACAATGGCACATGATTCAGCCACAAAAAGGAATGAATTACTGATACAAGCTACCACAACGGGCAGCATGAAAGGAGCCAGGCACAAAAGGTCACATGATGCATGATTCCAGGGCTACGAAATATCTAGAACAGATAAAGTCATGGAGCCGGGATGCTGAGTGGGAGTTGCCAGGGGCTGAGGTGAGGGGCGATTGGGGGTTGCCAGGGGCTGAGGAGAGGGGTGATTGGGGGTTGCCAGGGCTGAGGAGGGGGGCGATTGGGGGTTGCCAGGGCTGAGGAGGGGGGCGATTGGAGGGACACTGCTTAATGCTGTGGAGTTTTATTTTGAAACGATGGAAATATTTTGCAACTAAAGAGAGTTGGTGGCTGTACAACATTGTGAATGTACTAAATGCCACTTAATTGTTCACTTTAAAGGGCTAATTTTGTGTTATGTGAACTTCACTCAATAAACAAAACAAAAAGTCTACAATACAAAAGAGAAGTGATTGTGAACTGTTGTACCAGAACTTTTTAACGAGCACATTTATGCAAATGTTTTTCATTACAGTAGCTGGTAGAAATTGACCAGGAATATATCTCACATTCAACTCAGATTTTAAAAGTCAAAATGAGAAAGTTAATTGATATTTCTTGTTCTTTTAGGACTCTCAGCTGGTTTCCTCTGGACACAATAATCCAAGTAAGAAAGGCTTCTCTCTACAGCTTTATGAGTGTGTATGTGGTGGTGGTGGTGGAGGAGGGGCTGCTGAGGGGGTGAGTAGGGGAGATGTATGCAATAAACAGTAATTGTGAATGAATTTCACTATAAACAAAATCAAACGGGGAAAAAGAGGGCCATTTGTTCAAGTGTGTTTCAAATGCATGAGGTTCATGTGAGCTTGAGCGCCCCTCCGTCTTTTTTCAAGGGGAGGAGGCCAGAACATAAATGGTGGTTATCAAAACAATCGAGGTTGAAGGAACATTATTCTTTGTTATAGCTGGTTTCCGGTATATGTGGAGGGGAAACATTTTTAAAAAACACTAATTAGTTATCTAAATTGAAAGAAAAAGAATGGGCAAAGAGAACCAATCAGAAGACCTCAAGATGAACGGCCTTAGAATCCATGAGGAAAACATGCCCTCTCTCAGAGACAGACAGCCTGAAGTGTCTAGGAAGGAATTCCTTATTGAATCCAATGTCACGGCTTCATTGTCAAAGAGAGGATGTTATCATCCCATGAAGTAGTGTTTTCATTCTCTTCTCTGGCACTACTAATGGTTGTTAATGTTTTCTTGAGCATTAAAAATGCACACGCCATCTCATTCGTGTCATGAACAACATCCACAAAGACTGGGCTTTGTTCCATCGATGACCAGCCAGTCAGCTGAGAGTGCCCCTTGGCAATTACAAAGCCGTGTTTGAACATAAAAACCACTCTGAGCAAGCAGATGTGTCTTTGGAACTAAGGCTCACTCACTGAGCATCTGTGAGGGCAGAAGGGCTGTGGAGAAAAGACAGGCAGAGAGATGTGTTAGGAGGCCCAGACTTCCCATGCACAGCAGGAGAAAGGTCAGGGTAGGGCGACGGTGGCATAATGATGCATAGGCAGTATCACTCAATCATCTCACCCGCGGCTGGAATTTGCTGTGAGCACATACCAGCAAAGAGTGGAAATGCCAAGGGACTTGAAGCCTAAAGAACATCCTAAATTCAGTAGTAAGAAAAGGAATCGGAGAAATGCACGGATAAGTCCATGAGCTGTGCAGGCGTCAGCACCATGTGCCAAAGACCAGAGTATACAGGAAAAGTGCTCTTACTTTCCTCAGCGTGTCTTTCCATTTGAATTTAAACAGTTCAGGGCAGAGGGAGGAGACAATAGGTGAATAAAAGTACCTTCTCTCAGCTTGGAGTTTTTGACATAAAGAACAAAGGAAGGAAGTATTGAGTCTCTTCCATGTGCCTGCACTTGGATGCACGCTACTTCACTTAATCCTAACAGTGCCTGGATGAGGTAGGCCGGATGGTCCCCATTTTGCACATGATGAAATGAGATTCTGAGGTTAAAAACCAACCTTGTTTTTAGTGAAAAAAAATGACAACGAGGGTTTGAATGCAGGGATGTCTGCCCCAAAGACAACAGACTTTCCCTCCCCTAACCTTGACCCCAGAAAGGTTGCTTCTGATGGTTCAGAGTGAAGTTGAATTCTTGTCCATAACTGTATACTGTGGGTTTTGTGTGCATCCAGCATGTTGTTACAGCACGCCCTGGCAATGACCAGCTAAAGCTGCGTTTGGCTTATGAAAAAGCAGACCCTCGTCTGTGGAATGGGAGGTGGCACCTGCCGCGTGTGGTATGAAACCCTCTGGCATTCCATTGCCCAGGGGAATCTCTGATTGGTTCTTCCTTTTCTGGGGGTAAGGAGGTTTTTTTGTGTGTTTTTAAAATAAATCGTCTCCTAAAGCCAAGCACATCTATATACAGATAATATCACTGTTTAAAAATCTGAGCATTCACCTGGATTATAGCACAAAAAAGCTTTAGGAGAGCTGGTCTCACCAGCACGCCTCTGCTGCTTCTTGTATTTGGTTTGGAATCCTTACAGTTTTGGGAATCGTGACTTTCGTAAATATGTAGAAAATAAAAAGCACTGAGCTTTAGAGAAACCAAACATGAAATGTGTGTGTGTGGATTGATGAGCTAACCGTCACCACTTCAGGTCAATGCTGCTTTTTCTTTTTGAACTTGGAGATGTTGTATGATATAGATACTAAGAGAAAAGAGTATGTTAGTTGAACAGAAAATTATTTTTAAGCCAGATCTTTTAAAGGATACTTTAGTCAGTTTGCTAAATTACTGGTTAATTTAATTTAATTTTAGAAAATAAAAGCTTATTAAGCATTGAGAAACTTAAATATTAAAAGAGGTGACCTATGTCTACATTTTATTAATGTCTGGAGGTGCCCTGTTCAAGGGGCAGACGGAGCATGAGTGCTCCCCCTCCCTCCAGAATCTCTGTTTAATAACCGGAACTTTGTCGCCATGGACATACATCTGTAATAGCGCTGAGGACAGAAAGGGGTGCATCAACAAACCGGAAATTCAGGTGAGTTTCTGGAAAACAGAGAGTAGACAGGACCCTCCTGTTAAGTAATCCTGGGCAAGGAAGGTCATAATGAAACAAACAGGAACCGGCTCTAGTGGTGGTGGGACTGTCCTTAGGGCTCCAAGACAGACCCCAGATTTCTGCTCAGTCTCACAGGGAACAGGCCTGGCGCTCAGAGCGTGGTAGGGACCTGGGCCATTCCTCCACCTATAGCCCCTCCACCCCCATCCTAGCTGGTTACCATACAGAGCTTTCCATCTGGATTCCCCCCCCAAAACAAACAAACAAAACAAAACAACAAAATACCAGATAACACGGTAATGTTTGCTAAGAAAAGAACAGGTGACCAGATGCCCTAGTTGGGAGCTGATACCTAAGAGAAGCGGTATAGATTCTGAGGTAATACCAGACTTTAAAAAAAGACATATGTGAGTGGGGGAAAAAGAGTTAACTTTTTTCAAGATGGAAATAAACAAAAATGCCGCACACCCGGAGTAAAGGACTTCTCCCTTGGTGTGGAGCATGATGAGAGGATCAGGGCTCCCAGCTTGTCCTGAGGTCTCTCTTCTCCCAACCCTGGATGAAGTCTGCAGTTAACATACCCTCCCACTTACAGAGAGCTCAGAGCAGCATTTCCTACCAGGGAGGTGTGTGTTAGGGAACCCACATCAGTTACCTTTGTTAACCAGCCTGCTATCACTCAAAACATGAACGTGTCACCAATAAGTACCAAAGAGGACTGACACCAGTGGAAATCCACTTAATTCAAGAAACAGAAGAAAAAAGGTATAGTTACAGCCTTCAAAAACATTTGAAATTATTAAATAAAAGGAGAGAACAGATTGGTATGAAAAAGAAGCAATTACAGAACAAATGAGCACTTGAGAATTAAAAATATGGTTCACAGAAATTAATAGAAATGATTGGTAATAGTGGAGTCTATAATTTGTAATATAAAGTTGAAAACATTTTTTTCTGAACATAAAGCAAAAGACAGATGGAAAATTTGAAAGGAAGTTAAGATACATGGAAGATTAATTGGGGTGGAAAGGTCAAAATCCAGCTAATAGGAATACCAGAAAAAGAAAACAAAATGGAGAAGAATAAGTAATAATAGAACCATAATTCCAAGAGAAATGAGTTACTCCATATCACAAACACTATATAAGTGAAGCAAGAGACCATGAACAAGGAGAACAGCAGACGCAGAGAATTAGACAGAACCATAAGGACTTCAGACATCAGGATTACCCAGCCCGAATATAAAATAAGAGTGCTTGCTTCAGTTTCCAGAATGAGACGTTTGAGAATGTGGTTAAGAGCAAGAAGATTTGAAGAAGTACTAATCAGACCTCTAGAAATGAAAAAATAATAACAAATGAAAATTTCCTCATTCAGGTTGAACAGATTAGATACAGCTAAAAACATTAATGTATTGGGAAATTGAATTTAAGTAATTATCTAGAATGCAGCCTAGAGAAAATGGAAAATATGAAATGGAAATTAAGAAACGTATGGGATAGTCCCTGGCTGGTGTGACTCAGTTGGTTGAGTGTTATCCCATGCACCACACTGAAAGGCCACTGGCTCGATTCCCGGTAAGGGCATGTGCCCAGTTTGTGGGTTCGATCCCTGGTGGGGATGTATACCGATGGATGTTCCTCTCTCTCCGTCTCCCTTCCTCTCTCTCTAAAAAATAAATAAATAAATAAAAGTATATTTAGAAAAAGGAAACAGGGATAAAGTAAGAAAGTCTAGCATATATTTAAGTAGGATTTCAGAAAGAGATGAGGGAACAGAGGAAATATTAAAGAAGATAATGGCTGAAAAAAATTTAGAATTGAATACACTAACCCACAAATTCTAGAAACCCAATGCATATTAAGCATTAAAAATAAAAGGCCACACTAGACACATTATAGTTCATCTGCAAACCACATAGATAAGGAAACAATTCTTAAACTGCCCTTTAATACTTCAAAGAAGCAACAATTAAACTTCCAGTTGACTTCTTTCTCAACAGCTATAGGAAATAGTGCAATTATAACTTCATTTTTGTGTATCTGGAAATTGACAAGGTGATTCTCAAATTTCTTTGCTAGAACAAAGGCCCAAAAATAGCTCAGACACTCCTAAAGAACAACAAGGTTGGAGCCTTGCCTTGCCCATATTAAGAATATATAAATGTTTTTAGCTAAGTAATACAGACAGTAATAGACAAATTGAGCAATGAAAGATAATATGAGACCTAGAAACAGGCCCACAAATATATAAAAATTAGATTCATGACAGAGCTGATAATGTAGATCAATGGAGAAAGAATGAGCTTCTTAATAGATAGTACCAGAATAATTGGTTATCTACGAGAAAAATGAAATTACCTTATGTCATATAAAAAACTTCTCCTGGTATTTGTAGAAGATCTAAATGTGAACAGTTTAGTTATACACTTTCCAAAGACAAAATAGAACATATTTTGGTGTACTTCTTAAATACCTACACAACAAAAGTATAAAATATAGGAAAATATTGATATATTCAAGTAAATTAAAATTAAGAACTTATAATCATGCACAGATACCAGAAAAAGAGTAAAAGACTCACACTGGGAAAAGTTACTAGAGAGTGTGTGTGAGAGAGAGAGACAGAGAGACAGTAACAGACTTGTATCAAGATAATGAAGTGCTTCTATGAGCTAAAAAATTACAAAAAACCCACATATGAGTGAGACCATGTGATATTTATCTTACTCCGACTAACTTATTTCGCTTAGCATAATGCTCTTCAGTTCCATCCATGTTGTTGCAAATGGTAAAAGTTCCTTCTTTTTTATAGTGGCATAGTATTCTGTTGTGTAGATGTATCACAGTTTTTTTAATCCATTCATCTGTTGATGGGCACTTAGGCTGTTTTTTTGAGAAATGAGAAGGAATGTCACAGAAGAGCAAGCACAAAATATCTCTCCCACATTTGTACTCAGGGAAATGCAAACACTACACTGAAATTTCACTTTATATTATTAAATGAGAAAAAACATTCTTTAATGTTTGACTGTAAGTTAACTTGGAACCAGTTCAGCATTCCCTGGTAAGGTTGGACATGTGAAAGCCCTGTGGCCCACACTCCTGACGTGCATGAGGAAGGGTGTTCGTGAACATGTGTAACTGTGTCATTCATATGGAAAAACCTAAATGTCCACCAGTAGAATGAATGGAAAAACCCTGGTAGGTTTTTTTATAGGATGCACAGCAGTGAACAAACCACAGCTCTGTGCCCCATGGTGGCTGGGTCTAAACATCATGGTCGTGAGTGACAGAAGGGAGTCTCGGAGGAAGGCATACAGTATGACTCCATTCATGCAAATTTCAAAATCAGGAAAACTGAAGAATATTTTATTTACTAATAAACTCATGGGGGGGGTAAAAAACTATCAAGAAGGGAAGAGAATGACTAGCACGAAATTCCGCTGGGAGGAACAGGAACTTAGAGACTCTGGGGTTACTTCTTGGCAGTGTCTTCTTCACAGTTAACTCATTTTAATTTTTTAAAAACTGTATGTATGCACTTTATGGACATTAAACGCATGTTCTGTTGAACATTTTCTAAGGCAAAGGGGAGACTTGAGACCAGTTAAGCTGTGGCATGATGGAATCAAGAATGAGACTCCCTGGGGCCTCAGGGCAGGGAGTGCTGGCCTCCGCTCAGGCTCAGTGGCTTTCCCTTCTCAACAGGCCCAGTCCCCCTTCTTCACTGCCTAATGTTTATATTGTTGCAGTATTTAAACTTCTGTTATGGGTTTATAATGTTTCTAATTGGCCTATAGGAAAGTCTAAAAGTTAAGTTATTAAGTTAAGATGAACGAGGATGCCTCATTAATAATCACTGAACAGAATATAAATATTTTAAATCTCGGCTATGCAGATGGAAGGGGTAGCTGTGCAGTTGTAGGTGAGGGCGGGCGGGAAGGCAGGCGAGAATGGATGGGGGAATTTCCTCATTGTGCATAGTTTCAGAGGAAAGATACTGTCAGAAGTTGATTAATCAAGAAATGGATGATTATAAATGTATTAAAAGTTATAAATACTCACTGGAGGCAGTAAAAGTAATGAGAGAACTAATAAAATTGTAAGGAGAGGGGAGGTGGTAGTATATTAAGTACCTTATCTCGCATCCTTCATATCAGAGATCTTTAGGTGCCCTCTGATGTTGACACATCTAGAAATACGTGTGTTTATTCTGAAGGGCTCACAGAATAAAACCGGAAGCAAGCAAAGGTACCAGCTTTTTTCTGCTGGTCGATTGTTTTACCATGCACGTGGATTACTTGTATTACAAAGAAGAGTTGTAGTATAGCAAACCTTACCTGTGCAGCAGAATCCAGCCTAGTGCAACCTGTATTTGTCCCTGTTCAGACATCCGGAGCCCCTCTCTGGGCAGGGTGTTGGAGAGTGTGAGCCTCCAGCCGTGCACTCGCTTAAGCGTCTAAAGGGCACCAATTGGGTATTTTTTCTTTTGTGACTTATTGGAGTCATCAGATGGTTTAGTATTGGAACTGTACATGCATCTCTCCCCTGTAGTGTGGGGTTCTGTGCTCATGACAGGCATCAGACAGAAGACAGACGCTTGAGCGTGCAGTGTGTTAGGGACTGTGCGAGGCACGGAGACCCTGCGAAGCGTCAGGTTGAAAGTACACATATACTACACATATGTATCTACAGGATTTACTTGTGTGTACATGTGTCTGTGTGTGTGAATCTTGCTGTGGCTCATTTTTCCCCTCTTTCTCTCTGTAATTGTATTTCCATGTGCACCCTGCACCCTGGCCAACCTCTCCTGTCCATTTCCTTAATGATCCATGCCAGTTCCCTCCCAGAGGAACCCACGGGGAATCCATCATGAAAAGCTGACATAGCCAGGATGACCCCAGTCCTCCTTGGTAGCTGCACGGAAACATCTAGCTTTCATGCATAATTTCCCCTCGGGTCATGAGAAAGAAGCGATGGCTCTTAATGACATAGGCACTTAAACATTTCAAGGGAACTTCAGATATTGCATCACCTACAATTGCAAGATGTTGGGAGAATCTTATTTCATTCTTTTTGAAAGACAAAAATAATTTGGCCCCTTTCTCCCTCCTGCACCTACCCTTCCCCAGAAGGTGCTGCATGCACTCCCTCCCAGGCTGTTCCTAAATGTCTCCGTTGGCCCCGGGTGTCCTAGCTGCTGGCCAGAACCTCCTCTCTTGTCCCTGTCCCCACAGCAGAAGTGCTGCTCGGGGCAGCTTTGTCCCTGCGCTGGTCCAGCCTGACTCCCAGCCCCCGGCCCCACGTGCAGAGGCCTGTGTCCTCTCCACCTGCGGGTTCTTTGTCAGATTGTTGGCCAGGGAAAAACATTTACTCAAACATCCAAACAGTGTCTTCATTGACAGTCCCGGTTTCCTGTTTTCTTGACATAAGTTGTTTGGAAATGTTGACTGTTTCAGGCTGCTGCCTGGCTATTTCACACTCCATTGTGATTGTATTTGGTGTGGCTGCGGGCAGTGCGAGGCTGGGGAAAGCAACAACTTCCTCCACATTAAAGGGAGGGGGATCAGTCTGGTGACTGGAACCTCCGCATAGCTTTCTCTCACATAGCGCGGGTATAACTATGTAGAGTTCTGGCAGGAATTACCGCCGCTGCGTGGAAGAATGACTCTGGAACGGACTGAGGAGGTTGTGTTCCAGCTCTCAAGCCCGTGATGAGGCCTCTCATGTCTGAGGCACCAGAGGCGTGGCCTGGAGGACGGACGCGACAGTACAAGCTCTAGAGCCACTTCATTGGTTTGCTGCCTCTACTTGCGCTTCCGCGTGGTTTCCTATGCACAGGGCCGTTAATCAGCGTTTGTTACCCAGGCGGTGAAGTCCATGGTTGGCTTTCTGATGAAGTGGCTTTCCCTCGTAGCTGTTCCCACGCCCAGTTACCTCTGTTATATCTAAGGCAGACGTGTGAACCACATCTACCGGTCTTCTTTCTCTCACAACTTTAATTTCCTAAAAGAAAAAAGAAGAAATGATCAAGTTTGCTTTGGGGTTCAGTTTGGACAATATCCTCAGAATGTGATCATCATGCAGTATAGGGAGACCGTCCTGGCAAAAGGGGCCTGCACATGCGTAGGCCTGGGCCCCGCAGAGCACACCACGGGTGCTGCGAGACCTCCGGGCCAGACTCAGAAGGCAAAGCAAAGCAACTGCCACCATCAGGCCCATTTCCCACAGCCCACAGCCTGGCCTGGGGTTTACATTAAACTGTTAGCACGGCACAGCTATGGTCACACAGCCGACCCACACTGGCAGTCACGACCCTTGCTCCTTCATCTCCCAAAAGGGAGCTCCTTACAGCACCAGGACGCGTAATTCAAACGCCCAGTGTCCGAGGATCTAAGAATTACAGTGTCTTTGCAAGAGGAATTTGCCCTTTAAAACTACGAAAAGTGAACTGGTTCCAAGCCCCCATAATTAAATCCTTGATGACCACCGTGAAACGTCTCTCTACCTAACCTGTCAGATAGGAAGGATTTCTGGTTTACATCTTACTCTGCACTAACTGGGGAGGAGGGGGCAAAACCTAAGCCAGGGCTCTTGGTAGGGGTATTTCTTGCGGACCTCGTAACCTAGGGTACAACCTCAGTAAAATTCTCTCCTCCGAGTTCTGACGCAGCCAGAC